GGCTAAAATTTGAATGGCAGTCAAATTTGGAGTAACCAAATATTGAACTTATTTAATGATATCATGAAAAATTGGAGTAATTTAAAAGACCTTTAGGTAAATAAGTGCAATTCTGAAAAAACAAGGTTAATTCGTTCTTGATTTAGTAGGTGGACACTTATTTTAAATCAAAATAAAAAGGCTAAGTGGACACTCTTTTTGAACCGAAGGGGGCATTTTCATATATACCCACTTTTGGGGCCACCATTGAAAATATACCCGCATTGCATAAAATTTTACAAAGTTTACTTCAATCTCTTCAATGCAACTTCAGAAATCAAATCAGAAGTTCTTCCATCTTTCAAATGCAACTTCAGAAATTCGAATCTTAAGTAGATCAATCCATTGAATGCAACTTCACATTTCGAATCTTAAGTTCTGAAACACAAACTTGTTCTTCGAATTTCAACTATCCAATACACGAGTCAATGCCTAAATCTACTTCAAATGAGCACAAATTTGAAACATAACTTTCAAATATGATAAAGAACAAATCTCAATCATCAAATTGTCAAAACAACAACAAATTTAACAAATCCATTTTTGCAACTAAGAAGAAGAAGAAACTCTAAGCACAAAAAAGAAGAAAACAACAGTAAAGAAGAAGAGAAAAATATATATATCTGGAGTTATCCAAAAATTTGGTATAATTTCAATTTTTTGTAAAAGAGGATATAAATTCAATGTATGGTGCAAAATTGAGTGTCACATGAAAATTTTACGAACCGAAGGGAGTAGTATTACTCTTTATTGCTAATATAAAGTTGATGTATCTAATCCTCTATTGCTAATTCTACCGCATTACCAAATATATTTAAATGAAATTAACACATTTAAAGTTTACATAAAAGTACAAATTGTATGGTCAAAATTTATCTTTAGAATATCTAAACCAAGATAGTATTGGGGAAGACTTCCCAAGTCGCCATTTGATGAAACGGCTCAAGAAGCAGCGAAGTTTGTGGTCGAAGAGTCAACAACGGACGGAGTCGAGGAGTTAACGAGGGTCGAAGCTGAGGTCGAGTACCTTTAACGGAGTAATAACGGCTAGTTTCAAGATAGGATATTACAGAGAATATTCTAGTGGATATTCTATGCACTTGCACTATTAGGTTTTTTTAGGAGCATGTTCCCTATAAATAGAAAAAGACACTATGATCGGGGGCATGCGATATTTATTTGTAAAAAACACACTTTGACTTGAGAAAGAGAATCGGATCTCATTTACTAAGATACAAATATCACCTTTTCACTGAGATTCTGGTCTATACTTTTTCACTAGATCCGACAATAACTCAAATATTCAAGGGGTTATCTATCATTCATCATTGTCAGAAAGAATATCCACTTATTCCATCCTTTTTTGAGTGACTCATTCATTCTATTTACTTAAATGCCATATATTTCTGTTCATTGATATTGAATGCTACTTTATTGCCTCTGACTTCTAGATTATTTATGGTATACCACCGTCACTATCCGACCATATCGGCATAGTATTTGTTGCTTCACTAATGTCACGACACAAGTTTCCCTCCGTAGGATGTCGTGACGGTACCTAGTCTCTAAGACTAGGTAAGCCTAACAAATATGCAGAATTAACTGACATAAGCCTATTAAATGAAAATTACCGCTCGGCATGTACAAATAAAATCTGCAACTCAAAGTATAAACAACTCCCAAAAACCCGGTAGATATAAGTCACAAACTCTAAAGGGAAATACTAAATATCTCTATACATCAGATTCCAATGAGGATAAGGAAAAATGACATAATATGGATAGAGGGGACTCCGAGGTCTGCAGACGCTGGCAGATATACCTTGAAGTCTCCATGTACGGGCTAACTCACGGATATCTGGTCTGGTAGGAAGTACCTAGATCTACACAAAAAGTTATGCAGAAGCGTAGTATGAGTACACCACAACGGTACCCAGTAAGTGCCAAGCCTAACCTCGGTAGAGTAGCGACGAGGTCAGGTCAGGGCCCTACTGAATATAAGAAATAAGGCAGAAGATAAAAATGATACAATAGAATGGCAGGGAAATGAAACAATAAGAATGTACGGAAAGCAACAACACGAGAATCAAAGAAGACAAATACAACACGTAAGAAAGCAAGAATCTTACAAATAAGGAACAACAACAACAACAATACAACAACATAACTAGAGGGAACAACAATCGCACGGCAGAAACC